GAAATTGCATAACTCTCAGATTACGACTCCTCTGTCAGAAATGTCTCCTATTGTACTTCTATTTTCAAGAAATTTGAATGTGTTACAAGAATTCAATACGTCACCTGGATGGTCTAGTCTTATGCTTCGTGGACTAACTAATGTACGATTAATTAACAAAATTTTTTTTGCTATTAATTAGCTCGGCTCAGTTTAATTAGTCCAAAGTTGGATTAATCAACTTGGTTTTGACTGGGTTGGGATACAGTTCGAGCTATTCAAGCTATAATTGAATTTAACTCTTAAGTACTGAGGTTGTGAGACCATTAAAGTCAGTCTCAAGCTTCTTGAATTTTATTGATTACACAAAATACAATGCATATCCTAAACCAACGAAGAAACTGAGTGCTTTTTTTTTTTTTTTTTTTTTGAAAGATTGCACTTGTGCTTGATTAGGCAAAAGTATATAAAAGTTCATTCAAGTCAAATCCAGTTCTTCTCTATTAACTATTTAGTAAAGGATGAACTTGAATTGACACGTTTAATCCAAAAACTTCAGCTACTAGAACCTTTTGCAACTTTGAGTTTGATAAATCAGATATTCAATTTGACTCTGATTTACAAAATCAGTACACTTGTTATGTCAAAGGGGAAAAAAATTTGCAAAATCAGTACACATGTTTTCTCTATACCAATTAGGGTTTAAGTTCTTTATGAACAGCACATAGAAGAATATAAATCCAAGAAATGCACAGTAATAGCCACATCTCTTCAACCGGTAATGGCATCTGGAAAAGCTTATAGTTTCAAACATCTTTACAAAGAAAGTAAGAACTTCCCCATTCAGTAGGAACAGAAAACCACAAGCTTATGTTTATGATATCATGTTGAAAAGTAGTTCTATGAAGATAGGGCACAAAATTATTGCCACCTCATATACACTGTATCTTTTTCTGCATGAGCTCAAGAAGCACCAAGTCCTCTTTAACGATTAATGTACCCTCCCCATCCACCCCGGGGGAGGGGGGATCATCAACAAAGTCTCTTATCTTCAAGATAACAAGAGATTGGGAAGAGCAAGAGATTCCCCATGATTGTTGAAGAAAATGCCAAAACAGTACTATTTCATGAACAAGTTTGAAATGTTACCATCAAAACTATTGATTATACCAAACCAGATGGAACCTTTCACTTCTGGAGGCCATATTGACAGAAAAGATAGTCCAATATGGAATGGAAAAGGCCCAAAAAATGCCACATTTACTGTCTGCGTGCTACTACTTGGACAAGTTGTTTGATTGATCGTAGAAATCCTTACATCATAAAGACTCAATAATGTCTATCACAATCCAAGAACCAGAAATTTTGTCACCCCTGCAATAATTTCTTTACCTATAACTCTATCATTTGCCTTTTTATCGGCCTCAACGAGTGGATAACTTGCTTTAGATCGCAGATTCGGAGAAATTCTTGTCAACCCTGAATCTGAACAGGTTTAAATTACGTCACAACGCAACTCTACTCAGTTGTACTTGAATCTTTCCCAGCCTGAAGCAGGTGCTAGGCTCATAAGGTACTAATCCTAATTTGACCACCGAAAATGGGGGAACAATGTGTCACGTATGGGTCCTAGTCCCCAATACAGCAAGTAATGAGGGAAGAGCTATGTCTGATACTGGTGAAATCGTAAACAATGAAGAATTTATATTCCTATATATGCTGGAACCCATTTGATTCATTAGAATTCACATTTATGTTTAATTTTGCGCATAAATTTTGTGGACTTAGAAGCTCGATGCAACACCTAAAAAATTGTGCAAAAAGTTTGTGTAAGAATTTATTTTATACACACACACATATATATATATATGTATATATATATATATGTATATATGTATACATACACACATATATATACACACATATTTACATATACACATATACATGTGTGTGAGTGTGTATAGGTTGAAATAAGAGGATATGGAATTAAACTTTTAACGCATACAGATCGGCTAGTTCGCTACAGTGCATGTTTCATTAGTTTATAAACTATTATACAAGGGATAAGTCTTTTCGTTTGCTTGCATCCACTATAAACAAGAAATATGCAAGAAAGGGAAGGGACAAAAAAAAAAAAAACCAAGAGTAGAAGATCAAATCGACCTCATTTTTGAGTGGGGAACACTGAAATGCATTAGAACGTTATAAGGCTAATAAGAAAAATTTAAGGCCACTGGTACAAACGAGTGGAGGCTTTATCAAATACTGATAGGGACTCTACCACAAGACCAAACAAGCAAAAGAAGAATTACAAATAGTGTTAACCAATTGAGCAGGACATGTTGAAGTCTTTCATTGGTGGGTCTATCAAAACACTTGCTTAGTCCCCAACACCTAACCTAACAATACAAATTTATTATCTCTACTAGCTAGGAGCAACATAGCAGACTCCATTCGTCCTCAATATATGGACTTGGTTTAGGATGTTGCAATTGGGTCCATGGCTTGGAATTTGACCAATTATTGTTAGTATTTGTGGGAATTATTGAAGTCACAAAGTAGAACTATTATATAATAGGATACACTGTATAATATGAATTTTTCATTAACACCATGATTAGGTGTGGTGTGTAAAGTAGAGAATCACCATTAGAAGTACTACAGTGTTTGCACTAAATCAGTGACATCATGAAAAGTATCATTTTGATCCCAAGAGGAAATAATATGTGATTGTTATAGGCTAAATGGAGTTTCATTTTTCAACAGACACGATAACTAAAGTTATAGACTCAAATGTTACAGATGTTTGGCTATAAAGAATCTCCCATTCATGTTAAAGAAAATGGATAGTATGGTGGCTTATAAAACTCGGTTTCATAATTTGCAACTTCTAGTTGTTGGATGACAGCATTGTGAAACAATTGCAAGTTCTAGTTGTTACAATCGATGATGTCATTTGGAGAAACCACATTGAATTTTAATAAATCAACTCTAGAAGCTTTTATCCTTTTTTTTCCTTTCTTTCTTTCTTTTTTTTTTTTTTGTGTCAAAGGAGCCCTTATTTTATCTGTTATGGTTGACGATTTTTGGGTATTATCTTATATCACTAGGAGCGTTACAAAATTTGACGTATCAAAAGTTGAACAACAAAAGATTGGACATAGCATTAGTTATTACAAAAAAGTAAGTTGAGTATTTCTCCAAAAGGGGAAGGTTGGGTTAGATGATAAGGGAAGATTTTGGATTCAACGCCTGTTATTTATTAAGTAAAAAAGGAGAAAAAAGTGTATTTTATGAAAAATATTTGTTAAAACTTTTATTCTTGAATAATTAAATTTAATTTTACAAGAAAATGAAAAGGAGTAATTTACTTTGACACGTCACGAATTATCGTTGTAGGCAAGCAAAACGATCTTGTACAGTGCCATGATGTTCGAATGTTATCGGTAGGAATGTAATCGAGTTGAATTAAGTTCGAGTATCGCCGTACTCAAACTCGTCTCAATATGCAGGAAAGATACTTGAGTTCAAGTGAGTAATATTACTGGAACTTGAACTCGAGCTCGATGCATTACTCACAGAACTCAGAGCTCTCAAACTCGACTCGCATGGGGCTTGAATCAATGCAAGCCTTATCAAGCTTGAGTCAGGAAGATTTGGAGATTCATTTTTTTTTATAATTTTTGAGCGAAAAGGCATTATCGCCCTTCAAAAAATTTCATATGACCTAAAACATTTCGTAAATTTAACCACTCTTGTGGACGCTTAGGTAATTTCATAACAATGATGGATTAAGGAATAAAAATCAAATAACTCGATACGGTTTGATTAGCTTTCGAACCTTACTATTAGATATTCGAATTTGATTTACTTGGCCTATTGAGCTACTCAAATTCGATCAATCCGAGTTCGAGTCGAGTTTTTGATCGAATTACTGATGAGTGGCTTGATTTAGCTCAGCTGCAAGCAACTCAGTTACATTATAGCCCTAGTCACGGTCCTTGAGATAGAAATCAATGAAACCGTTAAAGGAATCCATCCAGTGTGTAAAGCAGACTGTTTGAGACCATTTATTATTGTCAGGCTATAGGGCACCGCCTTTTGGGGGCCTAAAAAATATCAGGTTTCGGTCCAAATTCATCTAGCCCATTGGACGAGGATTGGAAACCAAATTGATGGTCTTAGAAAGAATTAGGTGGTGTTTTCTTATTGAACGAGAAGAGCAAAAGTTGTTCTTTTCCAGCAAAATTGAACTTCTTGTCGGATATTGTTGAAAGCCATTGCTTGGAAACAGACTTAAATCTCGAGAGTATCTCAAGAATGAGTTCTGGTGGAAAAATCTCTGACAAATTTGGCTCTGGCTCCAATATTAAATGTCCATGCCAAGGAACTTTCTTTGAATGTAAGACAAGTTAAGAATTTGTAAATTCTGTTCCTTTTGAAATTCTTAATCTAATCAAATTATAATATCTGTTGCCAAAAGAAATAGGCAGATTGTTTTTGGAAAACATAAGAAATTACGAGACATTGGATTGAGATATTCAAGACCAGTTATGGTGATCATATTAGGAAAATTCCCAACTGCAAAGAAGAAGTGCCGTTTGAAACTTCTTGAACTGATTTGCCAAACTACCTACACCTAATTTACTTCAGCTAAAGGGAGTGTGGAGAAAAAAGCTAGTAAGTGGATATATGATGCATTTGTCAAAATTTTGACACCTTACCACGAAATTGGACCAAATTACAAGAAACAATACAATTTTATGTCGCACTTGAATGAATTTTAAAAGGGAAAAACTAGGGATATTAGTTATTGAACCACGCAATTGAAGAGAATAATTCATGTGTGTGGAAAATGAAAATCACAAATTCCACAAATGAAAACATCACGTATAAAGGTAAGATTATAAACATTCAAGGAAAATGAAAAAGAGCAAAGAATAAAGACATATGCAGTCTTCCCTAAAAGAATACGTAGGTCTCAAATAGCGTTACGAATTTATAAAAGATGAAGAAACAAATTAAAGGTGATCTAAATAACTAAAGTAAATAAAATCATCCAATCTGTTGTTTCTCTTCCTTCTCGGTGGCCTTTCTTGATTCCCATCTGCTACACTTTCAACGTAAGGAAAACCAAACAATTGACTACTTTCGGGATACTTTTGCTGCCTGACAACAAGCAGATTTCTACTTTTCAGATCGTATGCCATTACTTTTTGGTGATTTTCCACCATTACAACTTCCCCCTTGTTCGTCAAAAACACGGGCACCAAGGAATATCTTGGAGCATTCAAGTACGAGTTCACAATTGCAAACAAAACTGTCCAAGATTCTTTCACCCCATATTCCCTCATGGTTAAAACCTCCCAGCCATATGTATCCGGACGAACCATGCAAAGACATCCCTCTATAACGCCCAATCCATGTACAAGATTTTGTTCGTCATGCTTAGGGTCTGGTTTTGGCAACAATTTGAATTCATCCCTTTTTGTATCAAAGCAAAGAATCAACTGCTGTGGAGCATTTGGATGTTGGTTTCCACCATTTTTTCCTTCTTTTTCTTGGGCTAAAATATGCAAATTTCCCCTCACCAATGGAGCAACCCAATCCGTCCGGAGAACCTCATAAGGGCAATTTACTTTTGTCCAAGTTATGCTTTTTAGATGAGAAACAAAGGCATATATTGTTCGTTCAGATTTCCTAGGTTGAGAGATTATTATTACTACTTTGTAATCATCAACAGAATCATCGTAACAAAATCCAGATGCCAGCACCCTGCGATAACCATGTCCCAAGGAAAGAAGATGGTGAACGGCTCTGGAATATCTAGTGGAAGGGTTCCATAAAAATATGTTTTTCCCATAGCCAAAAAGCAGCAGACCATCACAAGAGCCAAGAAATTCGTACCCAGAGAAAGGGTTATTAAACTCTTCAACATGGAGATCGCTGTTTAGTGACCAGGAAGTACTGACTTTGGTTCCCGTGAGATCCTTGTTCAACCTTCTGAAGAAAAACAAGGGTTTTTCACGGCATCTTCCGTCGTTACGAAGACTGAAAATCTTGTGGGATATGAGAGATTTCCATTGATTGCAGACTATTTTGAATTTCATGAGAGTTTTCACGGGTAGCCTTGAAAGTATCTCGACGATGATGTCTTCTGGAATGTGTTCCGGTCTTGAAACTCGGCTTCTCTTCCCTTTTCTCATCTTTGGCACAATCACAGATGTGCTTCGATGCCAATGGAGTTCCAAAATTGTTTTCTGGAATCAAAGGATCTAGAGTCTGGAAGACGACACTCTCGTTGACGGGGATGAATCAATAGCACCACAGATTTTGATTTGAGATTCATAGGCGCATACAAAAGTTTGAATGTATGAAATAAGGAAAGAACATTACCAAGTCGTTGAGTTGTATTAGAATACAATCAAAGTTGAGAACAATTGGTAACTTTCGGCCCAAAAAAACAATTAGTAACTTCCATGGTTGTAATTATACAATCAAGGTTAAGAAGTGTAACTTTTAATAATAAATATGTACATTAACTTTCATTGTCGCAGATTTCCTAACTTTAGCATCCATGGGCAGCATCGCGGCTAGACTCTACTATTTTAATATTTTTTTTTTTTAAAAATATACCTACATATTTAGTTTTATTTTATTCTTTTCTTTTGTTTCGGAGAAAACTCCTAATTTCTTGGGATTGCTATTCGAGTAATGCAGCGGGACAACTAAAAGAGTGTTGGTACTTGAGGCTGGACAGAATCAATTACGTGAAATGAGTAGATGGCTGAAGTATTTATAACTTTGAAACTGGATTCTAGCATGGACTCGATTGCCACCTCCGATATTCGGACCTGAGGCACGGACGGTTATCAAAGCCTTCACAGACAATCTTGTTAGTATGTCTATAGTAATTTCATTTAAGTGTTCAGTGATTTCACCGGCAATTTCCATTCAATTTGAGCAAATTTTCTGTCAAATTAACCAGTTCTAGCGGCCTTTAGAATACTGTCCATTTGTTTATAAGCTGTAAGTTTATAAGCTATAAAATCGACTTCATATTCTATATGGACATAGAATAGATAGATATCCGCATCCGTTTTACTATTTCTGACTAATTCTATTTGAGTCAGGCAGCTTATAAATTGTAAAATTGACTTTATATTCTATATAGACATAGGATATGAATAGATAGGTATTCACATAACTAGTTCTACGACTTTTAGAATATTGTCCATTTGTTTATAAGCTATAAGGTTATAAGCTGTAAAATCGACCTCATATTTTATATATATGGACATAGGATTGGAATAAATAGGTATCCGCATCCGTTTCACGATCAACGACTAATTCTGTTTGAGTTGGACAGCTTATAAGCTTTAAAATTGACTTCATATTCTATATGGACATAGGATTGGAATAGATAGGTATCTGCGTTCATTTTACAGCCGCAACTAATCCTATTCAAGTCAGATCAATCTTTTGTAGGGGAAGTTCTTTGAACGTTATCCTTTCTATTCTCATGAGTTTCGAACCTAAAATCTCATGGTTAAGAGATGCAAACTCTTTCCATTTACATTAAGTGGAGCGGTCCCATGCGAGGGAAGCTTTTCCATTCTTATGAATTTCGAACTCCAGATCTCATCAGATGCAAACTCTTTCCATTTACACCAACATCCGTTGGTTGGAATAGATTGTTAGCTCAAGGAAAGTCACAGTTTCCTAGATCTAATAATCTACTATGAATTAGGAATCCTTCTTTTCCCTAAACTATTAGACATTATGGAAATCAGTGTTCGAGACAAATTTTGTACGTCTTCAGATCTACAAGATCGCGGAGATATATATCATGCAACATATGTAAACGTGAATATTTTTAATTTTATCAACGTTTTGCTGAATATTTACTTTTTTTTTCTAACTTTAGTCCCTTATTATTTTGCTCAACCGATACTTTTTTTTTTCTAAATAAAAAAATCATTACTTTCCGTGGTAAATATTATAAAGGAATAATTTCAGAAACCTCCCTTGAAGTTTTAACAATTTCTCTTAGTACCCTTGAAGTTTTAAAAATTACACATACCTCCCTTGAATTTATCATTTTGGTAACAAAAACTATTCAATGGTCAAATTTTTGAATGAATAGCCCAAATTACCCTCATAAAATTATAAAGTTCATTTTACCTTCTTATAAAATTCTATTTTAAAAAAATGGAATATGCACAAAATCTCAAACCTACTTTCAACTTTCATCTCTACTATTTTAAACTTTTCATATACCTACATCTCAAATTAGTACCATTATCATCATGACCACCGCTACCATCAGTTTTTAAATTCTAAAATCTCAATCTAAGTTACAAAAGAAAAAAAAATCAATACTGTTAAACATAAAAGATTTCACTAGATGTATTATATAATATCCCATCCCTCAAATGTTGGACTACCATTTCATGCCTATTATATTTAAATCTTCAACTTACATCTTCTTCTATTCATCTTTAAATCTTTCAAACCAAACTAAAATTAATTTGTAATATGTTAGAATTATGTTGAGGACATAATTAGTTATTCTATAAGTGACCTTGTTTTTATTTCCATTAAATATTTAATTGTGTGGTGCATTCCTATGTACAAGATTAGGAGCGTATTATTTAATTGAATGAAAAATATTAATATATTAAGGTTATTATGGTCATTTTATAGGGTCAAGGGAGGTAAGTGTAATATTGAAAACTTCAAGGGTACTAGATGAAATTATCAGAAACCTCGAGGGAGGTTTCTGAAATTATCCCTATTATAAATTGTCTTTCTTGGGCTAGAATCACAGACAGGTAAAGGTCTCCTGTTGATGCCTGTTATTGATCCTTCTCCCCATGAAAGTTACAAGTACTTAATTATAAATTAACCTTCAACTTCTTTTAAAATTTATTGAAGATAAGCCTATCATAATATTGATCATAAATCCAAACCCGATTCCACATTGGCACAGTTAAATTGGGTGCCACTGAGACCAATGTGCAAAAGAAAATATACTGCCAAGTATGAACTGCGGTAATAATATTAACCATTACAACACAAAATCACAATATTTAAATAGAAATTCCTAAAACCAGCAGATACGGTAACAATAAAACAGTAAAAAAAACAAAGGTCAAAGAACTAAAAGGATTAAATTTCACTAATTTCTAAAGTACTGTAAATATGACTACCAAAATTTCTTCAAAAAATATACTAGTTCTAACCAAAATTAGAACAAAAAAAAAAGAAGGCAAAAAAAAAATGAAAATAAAAGGTGGTCACACTAGGAGCACCATCTCCACCTGAGAAAAATCCCTGCTCTGTGAAAAATGTCAAAAAATAGTCATCTCCACAAGTCATGAGAAAGTCAATAAAAAGGAGTTATCCATTTGGTTTAAAAATGGAAGTGTAATGTCTATAAAAAGGTGTTATCCATTTGGTTTAAAAATTGAAGTGCATCTTTCTCATGTATTAACCAACCTGAGCATGTGCTCTTTGAATGTCTTGCTCAAGCTAAGCCTTATCCTACTTGTTTCTAGCTGTTGTTGTACATAATCCTACAAAACAGCACATAAAAAATGTCCAAGTACATAAAAATGGAGAAAATTTTTGTCAAAAATCGTGGTAATTAATGGTCCCATCAATAGCCAGAAGATGGCACTAACCTATAATTAAACATGACAGGCTGAGGAATTACTAGGATAGGAGACATTTAAACATAAGCAGCAGATAGCAATTGAGAAGTACTACTAGTTAATATCGGGAATCAAGCAAGCTAAAAGCAAGAGATAGAAAATTAAGAAATGAATATAATGGTGGTAGCTAGCAGTAGTATTATTAGTTTACTTCTAATCAAAGCCGATTTTTCCAAAAGCCTAAGGATCAAAAAAAAAATGTCCAGGTTCTCAAAGAAATGTGGTAAGCAGATCAGTTTATAGTTCAAAGAAGCAATCTTGATTGTTAGAAGTACCAATATCAATATTAATTTCTTCTGCAACTCCACATGTACTAACAGTAAGAAAGAAATGTTTAGAGCAACAATAATCAAATTGAAAGGCTTAAACACACAAATATATTGGATGAGATATAATTCACTACAACAGATTTCTTCCTTATCTGTGCTAATTCCTTGGAATTAGAATTCAATGCTAATTCTATAGTCTTACAAAAAAAAAATGCTAATTCTATAGAAAATGTGCCATCCAATCCAAGCACAAGAATTAGAACCCAATTCTATGTTGTACCAAACGCACCCTAAAGCTAATTAGGAATAGGTGCTAAGCTTTCAACATACGTACATCCAAACACATCATGGTACTGCATTGAGAAGTTTGTGGGCTTCTTTGGCAATTGAACAAGATGCAAGACTGACTCCTTCTTGGGATTAAACGCCCATGCATGTTTAGAACCATGAGCAAACAAGACATCTCCATTCTTGGTAAAAAAGATTGGCTCCAATCCCTTTGTCAATTGCAAACGAGGTGGGAATCCAAAGATAGTCGTCCAAGATTCTCCCACTCCGTATTCCTTCATCACCAACACCTCTCCTTGATCATTGTTTGGACGAATCATGCATAAGCATCCATCAACAACACCCAAACCTGATATCCACTTTTCTTCTGTATTTCTCGGCTCGGGTACAGGCAACTCTATCAAATCATTGGTTTTGGTGTCGAAATAAACAATCAACTCTCCATGAATATTTCGATTGCTTTTCTTATGGTTTGCTAGCCAGTGCGGGTTTCCATTAACTATGGGGGCTATAGCACTAGTGCTGGAAAAGAATTTCATAAGCGCAGGTTGCAACTGTCGTTCAGTTCTTTCTGCTTTTGAGACTCAAAGACATAATCTCTTCTTCCCTGACTAGTACTACGTTGTAATCATCGGAAGAATTATCATAGCAAAATCCAGAGGCCTTTATGCTCCAGATGGATTCGAGTTCTAAACCACGGAGACTGCTTACTTCTTTACAGGTCCTAGTTGAGGGGTTCCATGCATACATGAACTTGTTATCACAGAAAAGAACCAAGCCATTACTTGATCCTAGAATTTTAAGTTTTTAACTAGACCCAGACTTAATGGACATGGAACAATTTTCTCAATTACAAGTTCATGATTTATAGAATAGTTTACCTCTATAGAACAGGAATCGCGTGCCTCCCTCTTGAAAATTAAGGCTCCCCCT